AAGTTGCTAACTCGAGAACGTTAGAAGCTAGAAGACTGGAATTTTGAAGGGATGTTTCCTGACAGTTTTGGCGGCCAGTCTGAAATTCTTTTAGCTAGAAGCATCTGCTGGAAAAACCAGTGTCGTTAGCGACAAAAATCTGCGGCGAGCTATGCAAAAAATGCATCTTCGCACGGGCAGCCCGTGCGTTGGCCAGTTATTTATACGTGTGAAAACGGGTGAAGGGTGAGAGATCTAACAGAGCACAGAGGGAAATCCATGATGTTATCAAAAAGCAAAATCTTCAGTTACCTCTGAAATCCTTCCCCCGTTAGTTACGTTTTATTAGTACAATGTCCTAATCTCATATGCACAGAGATAATGCGGAAGACAAGGGTTGTGATTCCAGCAGGCACGAGGAAAGTAACTCTTAAGTACACAATAATTTGACGACCGTGCGCCACTTTCCCTCCTGGCACGCAATTCGGTTGGAAGCCGAATGGACAGGGAACGAACACGCTTGTTTCAAATTGCGATAACTGAAAAGGACACAGCCAATTACGGGGAGAGGACTGTGAAATGAAAGAAAAGAAAAATATTCCGATTTTCGAGAAGGAAAAAACGACCTAACAATGAACAGATAGCGTTATCAGATGAAGACAACAAACATAGGAAAATATGGAAGACCGGTAGACGCGAATATCTCCAGCGAAATTTCGCGGATTTGTAAGAAACGCAGAAAAAGCAAACCGGTAAGAGACATTTCTTCTGGAGCAGAAGCCCCTTGAGACTGAGTGAAAATCAAGGATACGCAACGAGCCAGTTGCATATTCATGGATCTTCCGATTCCAGCCATCCAACAATCGGTGCTTCTCGCGATCCGCATTTTCAATGGGAATCTGTACAATAAAAGCGTTTCGTGCAGCATGCACGCCAACGTCTGTTCTAAAACATACATGAATGTAAGCCGGCTGACCTGTAGCAAAAATAAGGAAATCCGAAAAAAAGCAAATCCCAGAGATTCATGCTTAACCTGCTCGATGGTGACATTTTGAACTGGCCACCAATGTCCGGAAATGCATCACAGAGCAGTGACTGCAAGAACCCCAGTACACCATGATTGGCACTTTTGTTGGATATCGAAACAAACCGGGCCCCGTCGTACGATGCCCATAACAAGTACCGCCACGCCACCTGTCCACACATCTACTGCAGTTGCTGAAATTAACCTCATCCAGTAACATATATCAGGACTTCCTACCTTCGAGACACAGGCTTGCTTAGCTCCACCTCAGTCTCATCACAAAGTTGCATTAGAAAAACTCTGGTCGTGTAAAAAACATCAGATAGCCCCCTCCCCCTTCCCCTGCTTTCTAAGTCTTTTGAAAAATGCTGAAGACGCACCGTTGGTCGCCTCCGTGAAAAGAAACTTTTCACCTTCTATGATAAACTAAGACGCTCGGAGGTAATCCAACCGCTGTACTCTACCAAGAAAAACCACCTGCTGGCGAAACCGTCGGTGGTTTTCAGTCCCGAGAGCTACCTGCAAACAGTCTGGCCCCTTGGCGTGCTAGGTGCATCAGTGTCAGCGTTTTTTAAATACGAAGCGGGAAAAATCTTCCAGTGTGTACGAAGTGAGCAGTAGTTGTCGGCCCAAGCCATTACAGCTGTTCGTTAGTGTTTATTTGTGATAATGGAATGTACCTGTTGTGAGTGAACAAACAGACAACAAAATAACAGGGCGTGAAACATCCATTAACGTAATCAACAAAAGACAAATCTCCCGCGGGGCTAAGAGGAACAACTGAGAACAATCCTGGATGTGAATATCACTGCGGGAGGAGAGCTCCTGTCAACTCCACTGCGTAACACACAACTGGAAATGCTCCGGTGCAACAGCGATGCACCAGACAGGACAAAGAAACTTTTCCAGTTTTGGAAATCTCTCAGTGTCGGGCAGAAAAGGGGAAAAATTGACAGATGAAGTAAACTTGGCCAAAAAAGGTATTTTGAGTTACACAGGACTTACACAGGAAAAAGTAAATAAATTAATCGAACAGTAATTAACAGTACTGAAAAATACGTGCTGTAACAAATCAGAATCAGAAATATGAAGGTGGCACCAAAACTAAGAGGGAGGGAGGGTGTTTCTAGAAATCGGAGAAACCATTACGTAACAGTGGTGAAGGGCCAGAGGAGAAGTGCGATTCAAAACTTATCAATGCTGGCAAATTCTTTTGTTTTATTTGACAGACAAAGGTGCATGCGATAGACAAGAGACTCAAGTATTCTTTTTCAGTAAGTATCGATAAAGCTACAGAGGCGTTAAAAGGGTCGCCAGGATGAGAGTACAAAACAAGAAAAACAACAAGTTCAAATGTAGGCAGGCAATCCTGTCAGTGAGGAAATGCGGCAATAAGGAAAATGACCAGTCCTTGCCAACATCAGTACAAGCGCTTGTCGTAACTGAAAAAAATAAACATTTTATACTGAAATACTGCTTGTTTTTGCCAATAACTTTAATGTAGTGATAAACTGCGGCCGTTTGAAGGCCGATTCGTATGCTTAAAAGTGAATGGCACAAGGAAGTAAAAATATGGAACAGCCGGAGTAGGTTACGACAAAGAATGCAATAAAATTGACAAAATAATTTGTGGCCGTTAGTAAGATGTGAAACAAGCGGGCAGTCCGAACCATGGAAAATATGGAATGGCAATAGTCCATAAATTTTAACTAAGGTGTGATTAGCTTAAGAGATTATGAACTGTGGAGGGCGTATGGGGTTTCGGCATTTTGACTGACTTTCGGCAACTACTAAAACTCGCTCGATTCAATCACGCAAATTGTACTCATACTTCACCTCAGTACCAAGTTTCAGGCTAAGTATCAAAAACCTCAACAGGCTTCATTCACCATAAATAACGGCTCAGTTTCCAGTTCCTACCTCCAGCCAGGGGCACAGCTCCTCTGCAATCAATAATTCCCTCTGTTATGACCCCCAAGATTTAAGCCA